TTTTAAAATTTTTCATCTGCATTTTTTTTAACACCTCATTTCAACTTTGTGTAATTCTTTCAACTTTCAAGCTGAGATGACTATCTTCGTCTTTGAAATGTCTCTGCTTTGAGCGTTCTATTGAAATGTCTCTTTTGAGCTAATTGTCTCTTTTGAGCTTTCTTTTGAAATGTCTCTGCTTTGAGCTTTCTTTGACTACATGTGTTTTTCCATGTACCTTTCCATATCATCATCTACGATAGCACACGCTAACTTTCTTTAGGAAAAATTATTGAGACGAGTGAGCGTGTAGTTTCAATTGTAGCACTATACTTCGTTGTACTACTGCGAGTGTGGATTACGTGTTGGACGCGACTTTGTTGACCGTGTGTGCGAGTTGACAATGGGAGATCGGCGCGACTATGACCGAGGCAGGAGATCTGGTAGCGAGGACAGAGTGAGCCGACATGGCTTCGACCGAAGGGAAGATGAGGGCGGCGATCGGTATTACCGGCGCTCTCCACCGAGTTGTTTCAGTTGCAATGAGAGGGGCATTATGCCAACCAGTGCCCTAGCCATTGGCGTGCTCCTGAGACGAAGGCCTCCACCTCATATGACGTGAACCGGGGTCGATCGGCGTCCCCGAGGAAAGCTGCGGCTGCTGCTACTGTGGCACCGGAAGACTTGCGTCGTCAAATTGAGGAACTAAACAAGAGCCTGGCGTCGGTGTCCGAGTTCGTTTTGGCAGAAAAGGCAAAGAAGGCCGAAGAGGAACATTTACGCATCGAAGCCGAGGAAGAAGCCGAGAGAATGAAGGTGGAGCAGAAGGCTCGTGAGAAGAAGGAACAGAAGCGCATCAAGAAGCAGATGAGGGAAGCACAACGTGCTACAAAGATCGATAAGAAGGTGGAGTTCCAATTGGCAATCAAAACTGGCGACTTCTTCAATCGTATGGAGGCTAGTTTGGGCCCAGTGTTGGAATTCGCTTGGAAAGTCAAACCAGTAAAACAGAAGGTGCATATACCCTCCGATCCTGGCAATGAGAGTTATGAAAGCGGCACGGAGGACATTCGAGCAAAAACCAAGAAGTTGACGATTCATGAGAAAAGGAAGAGGGGGCCTGATGTGGTGTTCGAAGACATTCCACCGATTGTCACCCCAGCCAAGCGGACACCGCCATGATCCGAGCAGAAGAAGAAGGACACCAACACACCTATTCGAATTTCCCGCTCAAGAGCCTAGCTGAAGACGAAGTTATCACCGTTGATTGACAAGTTCAAGAAGATACCAGGGCAGCCTAGCACCGTTAAGAAGCTACAATATCGTACCAGCAAATGCAAGACTTACGTTCACTGGATGCGTTGGAGCTGCAGGGAATCTGCAAGGACGAACGGGTGGCGTATGTCGGGAAGATTGATGCGATATTCGATATCGCTAGCCATCGTACTCGATTGCACTTCAGCGAGATCGAGGCGATCAAGGTATCCAGCGCTACGGAGCTGGTCAAGGACGAAGCAGCAATCGCTGAAGGGGACGAGGAAGAGAACGATGCTTGATGGAAAAACGGATCAGACGAGATATAGCAGATCATTGATTTTGTGACGAAATACCGAGGTAAGTAGGAGTCTATCGACCGTGAGGCTGAGGAGTTGCTAAGACTATGTGTCCTCGTACTGAGTTGCAGGAAGGAGATCAAATGGAACGCTAAACTAGTCGATTCTTGGAGACATCTTTGTGATGAACACGGGACGGAGTTCCTTACGTTGAAGAATGTAGTCTATGTCGCGGTCTCTCCATTCTGTAAACACCAGTATGTAGGGAAAACTACACGGGATGTGGACGTACGATGGCGTGAACACCAATACAAGTGCTGAAGCAGTAAGCGCTCCCATTTCCAACGATGGTTGTGTGCGTTTGGACCTGGGAACTATGTACTGATGTCGGTTGACCAGTCTGTCGAAAAGGAACTATTAGCCCTTGAGAATGTCTATATTAGACAATGGTCGCCGTTTTTGAATAATATCGGGGTTGGTAGGAGTAGTAGAGGGAGGAAGAAGAACCGCAAGGGGAGGGAGGAAAGGAAGTCGGGATTGGGTAAGGAACAAGCGATACATCCGCTGTCCTTCTCTTTTGTTGGAGACGTGCACCCGGTCCTGAATTTGGCGGAGTCCCTCAACGCGAAATCGGCGGGTGGTCAATAGAAGTTGACCTGCAAGACGTTAGGTGGGAATACGTGGGTGGTAGGATGGAAGAACCTAAGGAAGAGTTTTGGGGAATCGACGATAAGGGAGGGTAAAACTGAATTTCTACTCAAAGCCGGTAAGAAGCGTTTCGAAAACGGGGGCACCTTCGTGTTTGTGCACGTGCGAAAATGGAAGCCGAAGGCTAGAATCCTAAAAGCTATCCTTGTCGGTATTTTGAGGAATCTGAGAAAGATTTCGGAAGTCTATAGATGGGGATTGAAATCGCTCATAAAGCTGTATAATGTGATAAAGGATTTCAGTAAGAAATCTACTCGGAAGTACCTTAGGCGGTTGATATCTCGAGTGGTCCATGATTCGTTTGGTTTCAGTCTGTCTGCCGATCTCGTTATTCGCGTGAAGTTTGATGACCGCATTAGATTAGTAGAGCTAAGGAAATTAATGAACGATGGTATTATGGCGTGCAAGTTACTTGTCTGCATTCAGAATCGGGCAATGAAGAAGGTACAGATCGTCTGGGTGAAGAACCCTTCGATCGGTCATACCCTTCATAATCAACAGGCTTTTGCGTCCCGCGATACTGCCACCTGCGTCTGTGCAGGGTCTCCCCATCCGAAAGAGGATGGGCACGTCTGCTTTCGTTTGTGCGACGGCGATACTCGATACCAAAGATTGTCGAACGCTAATGACATTTCACATCCTGACATCTTGAACCGGATGTCTCTGCTGCGACAGAAAGTGGTATCTGGGTTCTCGAACTGGTACAATCTGAAGGGGTTTGTACCTGACTTCAGCCGTTTCGATTTTCAAGTTTGCTTTGGTGAGAAGGACGACTCGTGTGATAGGATCTCGGTGGAGGAAGTCAACACCGTGAAGAGAGAGTGCGATGGGTTGGTTCTCACCCCTTTGGATCGTAACGCTGGGGAGACACTTGTTATGTGTCCTTTCGTGTATTATAGGGCGATGATGGATTCTTTCGTTACGAATGTTGGTTACAGGACTGTCAAAGACCAGGAGAGGGAAGTTTTGGCGATGGTCAAAATGGAAGTTCGTGAGGAGGGTTTGGCGAAGTTTGCCCGTTGGGACGATAAGGGGAGCTATGGAGTCTCCTATGTACTCGCGAAACATAAAGACACAAGTCGGTTTCGACCCATATGCCCCACCTTCAAGGAGCTTATGGTGAAGACTCGACGAGTGGAGGCGAAGGCTTTGAATCACTTATTGTTCCAACTACCTGTTGACAGTCATTTCAATCTTCAGGCCGTCTCGAGTCTCGCGGCCAGATTGCAACGCATCAACAGGAGGATCGAGAGAGGGAATAGGGAGGGAGTGGAGTCGGCTTCGTATGACATCAAGGAGATGTTCAACCGACTCCCTCACGAAGACACTCTTGAAGCAGTTGAGTGGATTGTCGATCACTATCGACGGAAAGGCAAGCTATCGGTGCGAGTTAACACTAGGGGCAGAGGCGCTTCCTTTGGGAAGACAACAAGTGCCGACCATTGGAGACAGTTGGATCTCTTTGACATCCTTAAGTTTGTAAGATTAGAATTGAAGCATACCTACACGTATGCTACCGGGGTCCTCTTGAGACAAGTGATTGGCATTCCGATGGGCAAGAGTACAAGCCCACCTTTGGCTTGTATTCTGTGCGCCTATGCGGAGTGCAAATTTCTGAATAACCTTGGCGTATTCCGCAAGAGGGTCTTTGGAATTCGACTCGTCGACGATGTCACACTTGTCACTATTGGGCTGTCTGCACAGCAACGAGGAGCGATCTTGGACACCTTCGAGAGCTGCTATCCGCAGAATCTGGTACTGAAGAGGACTGACACAGGCTCGGGCACTCCGCCTTTTCTCGGGTGTGAAATCAGGACACAAAATGTGCCACCTCACCTGGGCTGTGTGCAGTTAATCAAGAATGAGCAAACAATCTGGGACTTGGAGAAGCTCACTTTCAAAAATGGGCAGTCTTACACCTCATGGGGAAGCAAGCAACAGAAGGTCGCGATCATCGGTAGTTATCTGCATCGGATTGATCAGAATACCACGATCCGCTCGGAAATCCCTATGAGAGTTCTGACCGTGAAGAGGGAACTGAGGATTAAAGGATTCCCAAAGGAGACTTTCGAACGTGTCTTAAAAGCGTTCACTGTGGGAAGGGATGCGATCTGGAAGTGGACTGTCAAACTCCTATTCTCTTAGAAATGGGTTTTGAACTTCAATGTGCTACGTGGAACCTGAGACTGCATGGATTCGTAGGTTTTTTCATACAGGATGTGTTTGTGAAGTTTGTTTGGTGTGATGGAAGAATGCGTACCGTATCTCGCTTTAAGTATAGGATAGGACTATTTTTCTCTGTGCTGTTGTTTGCATTTTCTTACCGTATTTCTCTCTAATAGGTTTAGATTGATATGCATGGGGAGTGTTCTTATCTAATAGATATTACATGACCGGTGTGGTGTGTACACGGATTTTAATTGTGAGATTTTGAGACCATATGACTCGTAGTATTCGGACAGGGATGTTTTGAACTTGGTCTTGGGGTATATTGTTCGAAAGGTTTTTGGGTTGTCTGATTTGGCGCGGGATAGGCTGGGATTGGTTTGGGCTGTCCTGTTTGGATAGGGTGGGTCCTGGGTCTTGCTTGGGCTTACGGCGTTATCAGGACGGTGTTATAATCGGTTTTTCCTATTTATCCGCGGCCAGGCCTTTTGTGGTCCGTAGGTCAGTACTGCCCGGTGCTGTGTCCGAGCAGAGAAGTTTGTGTGTTCGGTGTTGTGCTGTGCGATAAATAGGATGACCGATAGGATAGTGGACCTCTGTGACGGGACTAACGTAGCTAGAACTGTGCGGCATCCGGTATGTCACATAGCGATGGTTACGGAAGAGGGTTAGTCGGTGAACGGATTAAGTTTCGGGTGAAGTGTTTTGGCGGGAAACCCCCTGAGGAGGCAGCCTGGCAGCTGCCGAAACGTGGGGGACGCCGTTCTCTCATGACTGTGTATAATTCTTTCAACTTTGAAACTGAGATGACTATCTTCGTCTTTGAAATGTCTCTGCTTTGAGCGTTCTTTTGAAATGTCTCTTTTGAGCTTTCTTTTGAAATGTCTCTGCTTTGAGCTTTCTTTGACAACATGTGCTTTTCCATGTACCTTTCCATATCATCATCATCATCACCTCATTTCCTTGCAAAAAACAAAAATCCGATTCTTCAAAAAATACAGGTGTACTTAGGGACCATATATCTCATGATAGAAAATAGCAAAAAAAAATTCGTTCTTTTTTTTATATATATATTTTTTAATTTTGTTTAAATTGATTTTAGTTTTTGATTTTTTAAAAATCTTAAACAAAGTCGGATTCCAAAAAACAAATATAGGAGTGTAGGGTTTTTCAAGACCTAGACACCCATATTTTATTTTATTTTTTTTACATATTTTTAGGGGGGGGGGGGGGAATATTGAAAAAACCAGGCCGTGGACTGGGCCTCATCGGCCGCGGCCGCGACCAAGAATCTCAGCCGCAACGGTCGAAATGCCCGCCGCATAGGCCGCGGGTGTCACATAGACGTCAGGTACGGATCCTCTGTACCCTTACCCCTAATCACCCATGTTGTGTATTCCCACGACCCCCTGACTACAACTCCCTACCACCCTTTGTGCTAATTGCAGCCTTGCTAACGACTAATCCATAAGCGGCGAAAAGCGCGCTTCAGGGCGTGCACCCCCCCTACGGCTGGGCTTTGACCTTTCCTAATTGCTAACACACTAACATTAACATCTTAATCATTGCTCCTGCAATAATCTAAGACCCCTACCTTCACACCCTGTCTACCTTTGCAACATACTTCCTTCATAGCTAAATTGCTATCTAACAACATACTAATGGACGATCTTGAGTTGAGTCCTGTTTCCCACATTTTGTGGGATAGCTGTGTTACGTACACAACCCCCCCCCCCTCCCCTGCCCACACACACACATACACACACATATGTACACACGCACACACACACATACCCCCCCCCTTCTCTCCCTCTCTCTCTCTGTCTCTCCCTCTCTCTCTCTTGGGCGCGCACGTGGGCTGAGAGAGACAGAGAGACAGAGGGAGCGCGCGCGCTCTCACATAGCTGTGCAACTGTGCGCGCATTTTTTTATTTTTTTTTGTGAATCAATCAATCGATCAATCGATCGATCAATCAATCAATCAATCAAGCATTCAATCAATACACAATCAATCAATCAATCAATCAATCAATCAATCAATCAATCAATCAATCAATTTTTATTTTTTTATATATATATATATATATTTTAGTTTCGATGATTTTATTTTTTAAATATATCAACAAAAACCAAAATAAAAATAAAAATATGGGGCTCTAGAGCACGAAACGCTCTACATCTGCTTTTTTTTTTTTTTTTTTTTTTTTTTGGGAGGGGGGGGGGGTTCGTCACTTCATACAGGCACGGCCGTACAGCTGTACGACCGTCCTTAGGGCCGTACAATAGAACCCCCGTACGATATATACAGCCTGCTGGAAAGGGGGTCCTGCATCCCAGAACATTGTGAATGTTTGTGTGAACAGATATGCAGTTGTAATAACATCAGGCTCTTTTTTGTAACCGCTACACTACTTCTATCAAGCAGTTTTGTCACTATGTGGACCAGAGTCTTTCCCTAGCACAGGGCCAGTCCACTTGAGAGTGACTTGACTGGGGGCATTCGGTAGAAGCCGCACCAACAGTTCCAAATGGTAGGGACACCCGACCGAGAGGACCCCTAATGTGTGTGTGTGTGTGTGTGTGTGTGTGTATGTGTGTATTTGTGTGTGCGTGTGTATGCGTGTGTGTGTGTGTGTGTGTGTGTGTGTGTGTGTGTGTGTGTGT